ACTTGCCCAGACCGTTCTGTGGAATTCTACCAAGGACTACTGTGTTCATCAGAACAAAGAAGTTTACTGTGAAAATCTACCAAGAACTGCAGTGTTCAGCAAAATACTAAGTTTTTGTCCTTGGGAAACAGGTGTGCTCTAACTAATTTAGTCTTGTGCTCTAACTAATTCAGTCTTGGTAATGAATAACATAGCCATATATGGATAGTAGAAGAGGATACACTGGTATTTTTAGATAAGATAGAATGAGTAAACCAGCTTGTTATTCAAGAAATTGGCTAAGAGAATCTGCACATGCTCCGGAGAAAAGTACAAAGTGAGAAAGACTATGAGCCTTCATCCCAAAGACCCCTGGAGACGCCCTCAGGAGGCAATGCACAGGTGCAAAGAGAACATAAACTGCTGACACCAGCCTCTCGAACTAACCTAGCCCTACTCCTGCGTTTGTGTTATGTAACTCACTGAATATGTACATCCACACTATGTTTCTGGAAAAATGTGCTGTGGGTGTGCAAGTTTTGTGGAGAAATCCCCTTGCACGCTGGCTGGAGTAAACATACCTGCTGTATAACTCTATTTGAGTTGTAGAGTCTTTTTTCTGCAAACCAGGGTCTGGAGCAGAAGCCCATCTCCCAGGCATTAATGCCTAAATGCCTGGTGCTGAAGTGGATGCAATAACAAAGACCCCTACTCCCACCACTGGATTTTTACCAGGTGGAATATAAGTATTTCTTGAAGGACAGACCCATTTTGAAGGACTTTGTTCTGAATAACTGACTTTACAGAAACTCAGGTAGTTGCTGTAAGCAAAATTATAAACATGGCTTATTTATTCAAATCAATAAAATGTTCATTCATTAAGAAAGTGATGGGTGACCTTTATGTATGATTTTTAACATGTGTTCCTTGAGTATCTGAGCCCACTTCATATAAGTTGTCAATAGTTTAGATCATATTAGTTCTTAGCACTTCCAAAACTCAGCAATTTGATCTACAGATGCTGCCATGACCTGGACAGAGAGACTTAACAACTTCTAACTTTACATAGTAAGCCTCCCTTTCAACACAGATATATCAAAAAATCTTGAAAGGACTCAAAAATCTACAGCATTTACCTGTGTGTAGGGGGAATGAAAATGGAAACAGATCACTCCCAACTGCATCCATTTTCACCTCTTGTGCTTCTCCTCCACTCTCTTAATACCAGCAGAACATAGATGAGAATGTTAAAGCTATCAACATTCAGGCAAATTGCAATCTTATCCCGAAACCAGTAGCTTTCAAAAACTGGACCTTCAGAACCTTAGCTCTGCTTCTTTTTTGAAACAACACTCCAATTGACAGCAAAATATGTTTGAATGAAGGAGGTGGTACCTTCTGCAGGCTTGTTGAACTGACAAAGGCAGTTGCTAGCCGGCATAGAATGTTACCTTCTGCAGTTGCCAACTGCTCCTCCAGCTCATGACATAGCAGGATGGTGCTATGTGACCTGTCCAGCTTGAACACCTTCCCTCTATTCCGTTGCTCCTGACTAAAGAATGGAAAATTGGACCGTTGCAGAGAGTCTCCCATTCTGGTGTTTCTTTAACGTCAAATGGAACAAACTCATGTGGCAGGGCTTCATTAGTACCCAACTTCTTGCTGTAGGAATTGTGGTCTTGGAAACAAATCTTTGATACCACAAGGAAAAACCTTGCTCTGACTATCTTTTAACTAAAATCCTTGCACCCAATGTTTCTCTCACTGTACCTAACTCTTTGGATTGAGAAACTTGCTGCTTCCTGTTAGTACACTGTGAGCTGCCAACTGCTTATGCTGTTGGCTGCATAGCTTTTTCTTGCTTCCATGATGTCCCCTGCCCCAGCTAAAGCATAAAGAACAGCAAACACCTATGTCCCTAAATAACACCTCTGATCCTATTCAGGTCCTAGGCTGCCTTGGGACAAAAATTATCTAGGGGGAAAAGAGAATTTTAGTCCTGGAAAACAAGTAAGGCATACTGTTCTCCCTGGGACATGGGGTCACATTTACAACACTGAGTGACTTGCAGATTAACACTTCAAACACTGTTAGAACAAAACCTGGGAATTTAGGAGTGAAGTATAAAAGGAGGTGCAGAAAGGAAAAGGATCTACAACCTCAAGAGAGGTTAAAGTAATAAGCCAGAGAGAAGGGAGTGTAGATACAAGGCAGAATTCAAGAAAGAGAACTAGTGTTTCATAGCATAGAAGGAAAATGCAGGAGAGAAGGTGACGGCCATGAATAATGAACTGTCAGTGGGCAGGAACAGTCATAGGAAGAAAGTGTTAACCCTGCCAAGAGCTTTCCAAACAGGGGCTCTTTGTAGCTGGATAGCTGTGCCTAAATGAGGCACAGAAGAAGGTATAGTCAGGAAGAATTAATTCTGTATTGTGCTATGTGACAAGGTTTTGGTAACATGGGGGCTACAAGGGTGGCTATGAGAAGCTGCTAGAAGCTTCACCCATGTCTGACAGCTGATGCCAGCCAAGACAGACCCACTGCTGTCCAAGGCCAAGCCCACCAGTAACAGTGGTAGCACCTCAGTGACAACATATTTACAAAGGGGGAAAAACTGCTGGGCAACAGCAGCTGGAGAGAGGAGTGAGAATATGTGAAAGAAACAACTCTGCAAACACCAAGGATGGTGAAGAAGGAAGGGGAGGAGGGGATCCAGGCGCTGGAGCAGAGATCCCCCTGCAGCCTGTGGCGCAGGCCCTGGTGAGGCAGGCTGTGCCCCTGCAGCCCATGGAGGTCCATGGTGGAGCAGAGATCTACCTGCAGCCTGTGGAGGAGCCCACACCAGAGCATCAGAGACAATGTGCGATGGATGAACTCACTGCAACCCTCATTCACCATGGCCCTGTGCTGCTCAGGGAGAGGAGGCTGAGAAAGTCAGGAGTGAAGTTGAGCCCAGATAGAAAGGAGGGGTGGGGAAAAGCTCTCTTAAGATGCACGTTTTACTTCTCATTACCCTCCTCGGACTGGACCGGTAATAAATTAAGTGAATTTTGCCAAGTCGGGTTGGTTTTGCCCGTGCTGGTAATGGGTGAGCAATCTCTCCCCGCGATGACCTCACCCCGCAAGCCCTGAATTTTATCTTCTCTGCCCTGTGTGCCGAGGCGGACAGCCTGGGTAACAACAGGAGGCGGCTGTCCTGACACCGGCAAAACCAGATACGGGGAGGTCCCCACGGGGATAGGGCGCCCGGGCGTGTGGCACCCCGGAGAGCACACGAGGCAGGCGGAGCAAAGGCTGCCAGGCCAAGGGAACGGCCCTGCCAAGGCTCACGGCCGGGCCGGGAGGCGCAAAGCGGAGAAGGCCGCAGCCTCGCAGGGGGCGGCTGGGGAACAGCGGCCGCGGCCCGCCCCG